ATGACTCTACAAGTAGCAGGGTTTCCCGAGTGCCTTCGTTCTATATCGGAAAGCCGCTGGTTGATTTTGATGGAGGCATCGCAAGTGTAAGTAGAACTCAGTTGTTGACATCTAAACTTACAGTTAGGGTAACTGGCGAGTGTACTCTGAAGTAGATGTATAACAGCTTAGAGGCATGATATGCATCCTTTGATAGTCATTTATTGAAGGCATGTGAAGGATGTTCTTAAACAAGGTGGTGAGTATTGACAACGATTTTCCAATTGGCTGTGCAAGTTTCTACCGAATTTGGTCCCTTTGGAACCAACAAAGCCTCCTGAAGAAATCTGCGGCTCTTTTAGCCAAATCAGCCCCTACTCACAACCTCAACTGAACTAACAAATACTTAACTTTTGACGTTTGATCCTACCTAGCGTTTTCTTTTGGAAGTATGTATACGCAAGCTATGGAACCCTTTGATTTTTTATTATTTGTATCTGGTGCTTTTCAAGAAATATTTACTCTACCTCGGTCTGTTTTTTTTCAGCGGCCTTCCAAAGACACTTTTTTGGTGGTTAGCCGTCGTGGAAATTCCAGTGCAGATCACGTGTTCCGATTCAACAAAGCAAAGTCACTGTATCTTTTTGGACCTCTAAATCCCATCAGGAGATTTGCAATTCGCCTGGTCACTAACAAGTATCCTTTTAAACAAAGGTCAACATATTCTAAAAATGTAAATGCCAATGAACCCTGCGAGCAGTGGTTTCTCCAGGCCGGACGCTACTCTTCGTAATGCCAATGTAACTCTCACTGCAAATGTAATATAAATATAACAATTGAGCAATCGTTCAATGCAAGGTTGTACTTTCCAGATCGAAGTGGAAACACCTCTGGACCGCGAATTACGAATGATACTAAACACAGACCACAATGTTTGGGCAACGCAGTTTATTGACTAGCAGAATAGACTCGGGATCAATAAAATAAACCGCTAAGGGTGGAGTGGGCGGGGAAACGTTGACTAGCTCCTCACTGAATGAAAGGCTGAGCGATCTGAAAAATGATCCTTACGTGAGGCAGCTACTACTGACAGCAATTAGGCTTGTTCTCTATTGGTAATTACCCATCATCACTTCGGGTGATTTTGGTACTACTGAGAATAGTGTCTAGAGTTGTTAGGCGAGTGTTCATACCACCGTGCCATCCTCGTTTTACTGCCTTGGAGTTGAATGCGTTTAATGGATCTATTTAGAAGGTCTGTTAAAAGTGAACATTTCAACCTGATTCTTGTTGTCCTTCCTCTTTCACCCATAAATTAAAACATGAATTTAGACATGACTGGTGAAAATAAAATAAAACGATCCCTTTGAATGGTACCGTAACCTTACTAATTTGCAGTTTGAATCTGTGTTTGAAGCAGATTAATTTTCCTCAATTTTCATTTTAGATATTTTGAGTCATTTGTTATCCTTACCATTCTAATAAACTGTGTTTTTCTCGTACTTGAAAATCCACCCGATGAAGCTGAGTAAGTAAACCGAAACTTGGTTACTTTTAAAACGGAGAGCTTAGCTTCTTAGTGATAGCCACGCGAACCCCTCCCCAGAGTTTTTGATATGTTGCAGTATTTTGAAACGATTTTACCTTTACTGAAAAGCCTTTGATCTTCTTAACAAGATAAGGTATATTTCAGGGGTGGTGGCGCTGCTGTTGGCCTGTGAAGTCACCAACAATGCTCGCCATCTTGGCCTTCAACTTGGATTTTACCAAGAATTAGAAATCAAACATGTATTTTCACCCAAAATTGGCTTGACCACCTGCAACTTATGACGTCATATCTCGTAACCATAGCAACTGAGCATCACTAAACTTGTCTCAAAATGTGTGCCAGGGATGAATGAACGGCTACTGAAAACGTTAGGTACTGATTTTTTATCCTCTAGGAAAAAACTCAGGAAAACCTTATGGGGGGGGGAGGGGGGGCATCCGCCCCCATAAACCATCTTTTTTTCGTTACAGAAATTGTGTTGTGTTAATGAGAAGGCGGTCCAGCCATCCCCAGCTCTAGCCGAGATCTCGCTTTGTGCAACCGAGAACTTGGCAAGTCGACCAGCCTTCTCATATGAACATAACGGCATTAGAAGAAAACAAAGTATAAACCGAGCCACGCTATCACCCCATATAAATCATATCATCATCATCATCGTCGTCACCACCACTACCATCACCATCATCATCCCCATCACCACCATCACCATGACCACCATCATTTTCATCATCATTATCATCATCATCATCATCATCATCATCATCATCATCATCATCATCACCATCTTCATCATCGTCATCACAAACATCATCTTCTTCTTGTGCTTGTTGTTGTTGTTGTTGTTGTTGTTGTTCTTCTTCTTCTTCTGTATATCGTATTGGACATCTTTGTATTGTATAGGGTAGTGGCCGTCTTTTTTGGTGTTTTATCGCTTTTATCTTTTCGAAAACAAAACCGTTCTTGTCTGGTGCAGGTACTAATGCTGGAGAAACCTTCTTTTCTACCAGGTACGTATTTAGTGGAATCTACACCATGGAGATGGTTACGAAGATTTTGTCGCGTGGATTTATACTTCATACCCACGCATACCTTAGAGATGGATGGAACTGGCTTGATTTCATAGTAGTCCTATTAGGGTATGGTGTATTTAACAGCGGATAAAATGAGCAACATGTTCCTTAAATAGCGGATTTGTAGAAGACTGTAAGGTCGTGGTGGATGCTCATAACCTTAGGGGTGGTTTACTTGTACGGGCATAAGTGCTGATAAGATCTTTCCCCGGGTGAACTCCGATATAAAAGTTACTAGGATGCTCGTCGTCTCGCTTATCATGTATAAATTGCATATTTTGGTCTTACTTAGGGTGCTTAGGACCGAAAGTCACCATTTATATTGGCTCATTTAGGTATCGCTTAGGGCTGTGCATAACGAAATTTACAAAAAATGCGGTTTTGTCTGTTTTAGTATGGTCAGATTTAGTGTTAATTTTCCGATGAGCATCCCCGTCATATATGGGAGTTAAACCCTGGGCATCTTCCACAAATGATAAATTCATACTTGTGTAATATTACAATCTCTTATAATACTTATAGACACTTAACTAAGCAATATTTTTAAAGAAAGTTATCGCTCAAGAAAAAATGAGAAAAATGTTCTTCGAGCGATGCAATTGACATTGCATCTTCAACTTATCACCTCTTAAAGAAACCGACTTGTGTAGATGAAATTTTGATTCCCTTGTTAAGGAAGCACCAGACAGCAGAAACTTTGATTTCTTCAGGTATATCACTATGGCACCAAATATTGCTAACCTGACGGGAATCAGAACAATTAGAGTGCTTCGCGCCTTGAGGACCATCTCTACCTTGAAAGGTAAATGTAGGTGTGTAGCTCAAGTTACGTACATAGTAACAAGATGTATTTAAAACCCCGATGTGGCATATAAAACACGTAGTGACATTGTATACTTATAACTAATGGGATATCCTTTTTACCTCATTTGCTTTAAGGTCTCCGTGCAGTGGTGAATACATTATTGTCTTCTCTGAAGCTGTTGAGTGATGTCCTGATTTTGTTTATATTCTTTCTCGGTCTCATGGCGCTTATTGGACTACAGCTGTTTTCTGGAGAACTGAGAAACAAATGTGTTCTTGACATTCAGTATGCTAATAGTACAGAGAACGAACAAGAGCGAGCTCTAAACGAAAGTAAGACACACATCTGAATTAAATTAAATGTCACAAATTGGGCGGCATTAAGCCAACTTTACATGTGCACAAGGCTACGCTGAAGAGTGTTATCATCACCATTAATGTTATCATAACCATTACTCGTATTGAATGAGGCTGAGTATGATGTGAAGAATTATTCAGATCGAGGAGAATTTCATCCACGGGGGCCGAAGAGCGGAGGCGGACAAAATCCTCCAAGATCAACATAATTCTTCACATCATACGAAAGCTGGATTCAATAACTGTTAAAATTATTATTCATTCAAAAGATTTCTCCGTTTCTGATTGGCTTAAATCCCATGGATAATTCATCATAACCAGCAGTTGTTGACCAAATTTGGAAGAATTTTGCGATATGTGGAAAATGACGTCAATTCTACAGCAAAATTGCCAGAAAACTGGACAGTTAAACGAGAAGACCTGAGGACGAGGTTGAGTTTTTTTAGTAGTGAGTTCAAAATGGCGGAACTTTTAGCTCGTTTCGCAAGCAAGAAACAGGCGAACTATTGGCTAAAAACATAGCAAGAACAGCAAGAATATAACTCGACGGTCATCCGGTATTTGGAGAATATTTGCAGAATTGAACAACCCTTTATCTCCTAAACTTGCCGATAAACATGCAATCGAAGACGAACTTAACATCGATGGAGGTAAGCATCTTTTGGCTTGTTTTAAGGCTAGGAATTATTTTGAATGAGTAATACAACAATTATTGAATTGGGCTTACGTATCATCTGAAGAATTATGGAGATCTCGGAGGGTGTTATCTGCCTGGGCCTAATCGACGGATAACGTAAGGAGAGATTTTCCACGTATTCTTTTTTTGTCTGGAATTTTATATCTAGCTTTTAAAGATTCCCTTTGACGTTGTTTTAGTAATTCAAACTGAATTTGCATTGCGGTTTTTAGCTCGGCAAAAAGGGCCCGTGCCGTTTTATTTTCCTTTGTTTCAGTTGCTTTTTGTTTGCTTAAGTAGTAATTGTAGAAAAGCCAACAGTGTTCCTCAATAAACAAAACTAATGGAAATTACTCTTTTCAACTGTACACATTTTTTACTTCAATGTTGACTTTTGAAAACAATAATTCGTTTCTGAATAATGGTTATTTACGTGTTATTAAACTTTAGCCCATCTTACGTGATTTTATATCAGATGGCATTTATTCATAGCAACGCCTTTCCCACATGTGCACCCCGTTTTAATTGCAATTCAGCTAAATTTAGCGAATATATATTTCATTAAACTGCTAGTTAAATAAAGGCAACAGCCGAATTTTGAATATGAAAGGTTTTGCTGTCTTATAATTTTTGAAATAGATCGAGTTTTTAATTTGTTAAAGTTAGCATAGTCTGCGCTGCGGATTTTCATTCATATTGTAATACTTTGTACATAAACGAAAGCTTTAACAAAGAGATGGCCAATGCAAGATACAATTTACTAAGTCGAAAGAAACACTCTCCTGTTATTGTTAGACCCGTTACGCTCAAAGTAAGAGACCAAGAAACACATGCCGGTTTAACAGACAAAGACCGAGAAGCCTTGCCGAGATGCCTTTCTATTGGGTTTCCAGTCTCGAAAGTGATGCCGAAGTTGAAGAGAATCTAAACCCATGAAGTTCAAGTTTCACGTATCCAGTTCCAAGTTCAAGCCGAGTTGCACCGACGATCCGACGTTCAACCGCATTTTCCACTACTAATTAAGCCCAAATGATAGATCCCCGACTTCCGCATGCAGCGTCGATAACGACGACGAATCCTTTGTGTGTCCAAGCGAAATAAAATATAAGTAAGCTACTTTTTACTGTTTTTCGATTAGACTGTCGATTACATCGTTGATTACATTGCGTCGTTCATTACATTGCTGATTATTTCGCCGTGTCCTGCCTGAGTTTATGCCATGTGATCTGCTGAAGAATAAACGCTGTTGGAACCAAAGTTTAATTCTGTTTTATCCACTGCTGTACCAGTTAGTGGTTTGATCCCGGTCCTACAGAGACATGACGGCTCTTGCCCGCAAGAGAGTTGTCGTTTGAGTCTAGTTTCCCCAGTTTTAACGAGAGTTAAGCATCGAGTTCCTGTTGAGTCTCAGAACTTTGTTTTCTAATGGAAACAACTTCCGTCACAATACCACCCTCCTCGCTCTCCATAATTCTATAGATGATACTCAGCCTCATCCAATAATTGTTAATTATTTATTCCTAATACTCTAAGTTCTAATTAGAAGCTTATCTCCTCGTAGACTTTTTTCAACACTTTGGCCTATTTCTCGACACGGTTTCAGGATATAAACAGATGTTTTTCTTTGCAGATACCCCTCAAAAAGTAGATAACATTCATCGAGCCACATGTATTTGCGCATTCCTTCATTTCTTCCGATCAGTTTTAGTTAGAAATTCCACTATTTTGTCTTTGGATAGCATTAAACGCCAGTTTGTTTTAGTTCGCTATTGCCTCGGCAAGCGGCCTCGTTTCCAAACAAATATGCCATCGATCAACCTCGTTTGAAGCAATATACCATCGAATCGATATTGCATCCCCAGCCGAGGAATTTGAGCCAATCAGAAACGAAAAAAAAAAACTGTACTGTCGTCATCATCGTTATATTATAGACTATTAGTGCAGATAGTAAGCTCTGCCTCAATTATTAAATGGCTATTTCTGACACAACCTCTATAAATGTCATCAACACTAAGTATGTTAATTTGATATCATATTTTCACGTCATGTCCCTCCCAGTGCTCATTAATATGCTCATCATGTTTTTTTCGTCATTACCGATGTCATCTTTAGTTTCGCAAAGTAAGGATTTATCTTAAGGCAAAAGTTTATGATTCATATAGGCAAGTCTCTTTCATCATACAAAAAAATAACTTTTTTTAACGTTGTGTTGAACGAGACCTGAGACCTAGCAAGAATAGCGACATTATGGGCTATTTTTACTTTCAGGTTTTTGGTTTCTTAATAACGGCGATCCTTTGATTTGTGGGAACAGTTCAAGTGCAGGGTAAATTTTGTAACATATGCATGATCAAATAATCAATAAATTTGTTAGCTTATTTATTAAATGACTAAAATGCTTCTCCTTTCCTTGCCTAGTCGGGATCCTATCTACAATGCATCAACACTAACTTTTGTTAAGCTGTACCTTCAACAGAACACCGCGTTAGTCATTTCCGTAGAAAATCCATTGTACTGTATATACAGTACAAACAATTAGCTTATCAAGGTCACAGATATTATTAGTTGATTTTGTGTTCTATTCGTTTTCCCTGATTAAGATCTTGTCCATCCAATTACACATGCATGCCTAACGCTGGTCCAAACCCAGATCATGGTTACACGACATTTGACAACATGGCTTGGTCTCTTATTATGGCTCTACAAATACTAACAATGGATTTCTGGCAAAACGTTTACAACAAGGTAAGTGTATCAATTGAGATTTTCTCTGGATATAAGAAGAAAACTGAAGGAAACATAAACATATGCCATAAGCCAGAATTCGTCAGGCCTACTTCAGGCAGTAAGCCGTGGAAAAGTGGTGAAAAATATTTAAGTGACTATCGTGATACAAACTATAAACTAACTTTCATGGTGTAACTGGCAAAATTGAACACTTATCATTCCTTTTAGATCAACAGATCCTCTGGAGCGCAGTACGTGCCATATTTTGTCATCGGAATATTCTTCTGCGCTTTTTACCTGATGAACCTTGTATTGGCTATGGTGTACTTATCATATGAACAGGAATTATCTTCAGACGGAAAGGAGGTACTTTTAGATATCCGCAAATTCAATCAGCATAGGTAGGGCGACTCAAAGAGTTAACCAACCAGGGTATCATTTTTTTTTCGCGGCGCAATTCCCCGCGACGAAACGCTCCCCTCGTCGCTAACAAGTTTGACAACTGTGGATGAGTTAAAACAAATTTCCTTACTTTTCCTTACAAATGTTGATTCACAACTTTCTAAGACAGCCAAAGCAACGAGTAAACACTCTGATGAAGGACCTTTGCTCAAAAATGCTCTCTTCTCTTTATCTTATCAGTTAGTGCTGTCTTGCTCTGAACAATTCAGTTCCACTCTAGCTGCTTTGTGTAGTATATTATACATGTAAATCCCCATTGATTTGTCCCCAGAGGTGGTGCGGCGCCAGTGATGATTGACCAGATTGATTATCCTTTACTTGCATGGTTTTATGACACGAGATTGAAAACTGTTCTATTAACTCGGCAGAATAGCTGCAGAACTATCTTACATTGTGTTGTTTTGTGTGCATGATTTATTAGGAGGAAAAGATGGATCAGCGACGTACTGGTCGTTCATATCAAGCACACGAGCGAATGTTGAACCGTCTTATTCTATTAGATAGAAACCAACCGCCTCCATCAGAAGATGAAGCCAAAGATGCGGATTCGAACGCATCGAAGCGCCGAGAATCACTTCACCACATTTTATCAGCCAGGGTATTAACACAAAGGTCTGAGACAAACAAAGTAACGAGCAAGGTTCTGTCTCATATAAAATCTTGTTGGAAAATGGTACAAAAGTGCATGCAGCAAATCACCTCCCATCCTGCCTTCGATGTGGTGATTCTACTGCTAATAGTTTTGAACACAGTTGTTCTGGCAATGTACTACCATGGTATTCCTACCCAGTTTAGGCGCGTCTTGGATATTTTGAATTGGGTGAGTAAAAGTCAGTGATCGTTTACATGAATCTGGGATAACAAATCTAACTGTAAATTTATTAGACAGCTCCAGTTGTAGGTAAGTATGCACCACTTGTGGTCATTTTGATAATGTTAACCTATTGCCGTAGTAGCCTGTATAAGAGCCTCCCTTAGGGTCGAACGATCGTGAGTAATAGTACGGTCGGTTTTAGTCAACAGGACATGTTAAGTACTACTGTAAGATGATCTGTTTTGCACGCTATATTTATGAATGAATAAGTAAATCAGTGAGGTTCGAAAATACGACATCAATGGCTTTTTTCTTTGCTAAATAGGTGTTCACTTTGTTGTTTACTACTGAGATCCTGATTCGTGTGGTCGCTATGGGACCGACAGAATTTGTTCGCGTTCGATGGTACTTGTTTGACACAGCTGTTGTGGCAGCCAGCTTACTGGGATACGTGATACATGCTGATGGACTCAGTATATTTAGAACCCTTAGAATGGTAAGCAACACAGGAATCATTTCATTCCGAACAAAGAAGTTATTAAGGTCACAATTGAAAAAGACACAATTGAAAAAGAACTACGTCGACAACTTTGAACTTTGAAAATGTCAAGATTTTGATCACTCTCTTTTATGATAGCTAACTTGTTCGGAAAGGAAACCAAGGAAATGTTCGCAATTAAAGTTAAAGGATCGCAAGAAATTGATAATTCTTAGACGAATTTCGTACCGTCATGTTTGTAACTGAAATTTAAGGGGGCTCGACCCAGTACATTAATAGGCCCACCCTCCACCTTTGAATCTCTTATACTGAAAAAAATTGATCTTTATTGTAAAAACATTATAACACATGGGTTACACTTACAATAAACTTTATCATGTTATTATTTTTTGGGCGATCGGAGTGAATGTCATGCGACATTGACGTCACAATGAATTTTTGTGACACTTCGCACAGCAGAAGAAATTCATCTCATCCAAAGAACACGTAGCGTAAAGCATTTCAAAAGAAAATGCCGAACTGGGCTGAAATTCGATTGAGAGCTAAAACCATTGTGACGTCATTGTCACCTGACGTTTATTCCGATCGCCTAAAAAAAAAATATCATGATAACATTTAGTCTTTAATGCAATCCGTGTGTCATAATAGTTTACAATAAAGATCAATTTACTTTAGGATGAGTGATTCAAAGATAGAGGCTCGTGTTAGCTTCTGTGTGCTCACATAAGATTAACTCTCTCCCATTTAGGTACGACTCTTGCGTTTGGCGAAATCCTGGAAGACGATGAAAAGACTGATGAAGGCCATTGCTAGAAGCATAGAACCTGTGGGCAACATTACACTTATTCTAGGTGTAATTATCTACATTTTTGCTGTCCTAGGAATGAAGACATTTGGCAAAGATTATAAAGCGGATAAGTTTGGTGATAGTGGAGTGCCACGCTGGAACTTTAGTGATATCTGGCACGCATTTTTAATGGTTTTTCGTGTCCTAAGCGGGGAGTGGATCGAGCCTCTCTGGGACTGTATGAGGGTCACAAACGCTGCCAAGGCCATCCCTTACTTTCTAACAGTTCTCGTTATTGGAAACTTTCTGGTGAGTAGCATTTGAGAGTGAGAAAAGGATTGACTACTTTGCTCACAATGAACAAACAGTATGTTAGATCATGCCCAGATTGACAAACTAAGACTATGGCAAAATAACTGGCTGCCAGGATCCACTTACTCCTTCCATATGTAATTTTTCAGTCTTCAGATTACGAAAAAGCCATGTTATTAAGTACGGCATATTGGCTACCAACTTTATCAAAAAACATACGAAGAGTATCGCACAAGGAATGACTATTTCAAACTTACTATTCTTATACAGCAAGTAAGTTCTGGTAGTCTTTTTCTTTACCAGGTCCTCAACATGTTTGTCACTCTAATAGTGAACGCCTTTGACTTCCGAGATGACAATTCAGATGGCGTAGATGGTTCAAAGTCTGCCATAAAAAACATATTTAAAACACGCAGGTCCTGCCTTTTGGAGGAAAATTATCGTGGTTCTCTTCGTCCTTGCAAGCTTAAGGTTGTAGAGAGTAAACACCCTGATGAGCGAAGCAATGGCGTTTCTTTGGCAACACACACAGGAGATCATGACGGCAAAGAACATTGTAAAAGTATAGAGATAATATAGTTTTTTTTTTACCAAGAAAACATATTTTTAATTTGAGTGTACGCCTAAGAGAGGTTTTTTCATTTGCTTATTTTAGCATACTTTCTAAATCACCTTTTGTTGCCCGTTCATAAACAATACAATGAATATGTTACTCTTTGTCTATACAACCATCCAAATTTTTAATTTTTGTTTCCTTTTGTATAATTTCTAATCTACTTCCTTTCTTCGAATTACAATACATTTTGTATCATTAATTCAAACTATATCCAAGCCTCATGTAAATAGAAGATTTTGCGGGGGATTAATCGTGAAACTCGGAAAACCATAAACAACGAAAATATTTCTGGAGCATTCAACAAAGGTAGTAGTTTTGTGGCCTGCTTGCGTGCAGCTAGTTTTGTTTGTTGTGATTGGTCACAATTCAATATCTTTATTGTTCACGGTTTTCTTTCTTGACAAAAGACCAATCAGAAACGGACAAATATTTTGAATGAATTTTGTTGTATAAGGCAGTAGGTTGGTAGTGGGTCTATGGACATATGTCCTCAATGACATCGGCCATCTTTTTATTATGTTCAAGATCACCTTTAATACATATTTTAACGTCCATGAATTAATCCGGGATATTCCAAACTAAAAAAAGCTGATTTTATCATCAATTATGACGCATTTCTTGGCATTTGTTTTTCATCCTTTTTTTATAATCTATCCAGTTGCAATGATTCTGGATTGGCTGTAACATGCTACATTTGACATGCTATTTCGAAATTAGCATTATCATATATGAATAACATTGCTATAGTTTTTAATTTAATTTCCTCTTTCCATGCAGCCTTAGACAACGTTATTGACATTGACAGCTCAAACAACGCAATGAGAGAAGGTACGAGTTTTGAGGATGGCGTTGATTCTCCTCCCAGTGTCAAAATGGAATATATAAAAGACGGGATTTCTGAAAATGGTGTGGTAACATCAGTGCCAGTTCCTTCGTTTGAAATCAAGGAATTATACATAGAGGACTGCCTCCCTGAGCACTGCGCATGTGTAGACTGTCAACTGTGGAGCCCTTTATCGACGGAAAGCATTTCCTGGCTTAAGTTCCGCGGCCGGGTACGAATTTTTGTGGAAAAGAAATACTTTGACTGGTTTATTCTCTTCATGGTGTTTTTGAGCAGTTTTATGCTGGTAGGTTATTTTATGCTGTGCATCTTTTAAGATCTTTAAAATGATTTACTTCATAGAAGTTATTTTGGTCCTGTCAATCTTTTATCATTTCATTTTTTTTATGGCAGCTAGTGGTCAGGGTGGGAGTTCATTACCCTGTTCTGCCCGGGACACCCGGAAGTGCAGCGTTCTGTCCACTTAGCAACGCTGAGATGTTTGCCCAAAAGCTATTTAAATGCAATATCTTTAATCGTAAACAGTACCGTAAATGGAAAATGCTTACAAAGGTGTTATTAAAACTTGTAGGTTTTTGAAGACGTTAATCTGCACAAAAGGCCAAATCTCGAGAAAACCTTGGAAATACTCAACTACATTTTTGCATGTGTCTTTACGCTCGAGTTCCTACTTAAAGCCATAGGTTTTGGCCTCACGAAGTACTTCGCTTCTCCTTGGAACTGTTTGGATGCCTTTATTGTCTCAGTGAGTAGAACATGAACTATTAAGCTCCCTACTGTAAAAACGTTTGTATAAAGGCTGGATAAACGCATCGCTTATGGTATGTGTTTTACCTCACAGATTTCACTCGCTTGCCTATTTGAGAACAAGCAATTATCCGTGTTTCGTTCCCTACGTACATTACGAGCACTGAGACCACTCCGGGCCATCTCACGACTGGAGGGAATGAAGGTAACCAAAATTTGCTAGTAAAATCTCCCAGGGTAATTGAATTAAGTCATGTTGTTTCTTGAAACATTGACCATGGTGATTTAGGTAGCTAGATAAAGAAAGATCGTCCGAAGCTAAATCGAAAGAATAGAAAATGATGTGGTCCTCCTGATCAAGAACATGCCCAAGCCAAGCTATCAAAGAGTTTGTTCCGTTTCGTTAATAAATCGGATGCAACAGCTTTTTGATGATGCCCATTTATTAAACAGACCGCCCAAAAGCACAAGACAGCGATTCGCGATTCACCATTCCGTTGGTAGTTAATCCCCATAGAAATGGTAGCCAGTTCAATTTAAAGTAAAACTTAGTTTATTTCATGACTACTAAATCTCATGTGCTTTAAACACTGTTATTCTGTTATTCTCCTTCTTAAGGTAGTGGTGAATGCTCTCTTTGCTGCTTTACCAAGTATTGCAAATGTCCTGGTGGTTTCCCTTCTCTTCTGGCTGATATTTAGCATTCTTGGCGTTCATTTCTTTGCCGGAAAATTTTACAAGTGTGTGGATGAAGACAACGCCCAGTTACCTGTCAGCGTGATTGCTAGTAAAGCAGAATGCCTCAACCGCACCATGGACGGTTACCGTTGGATCAACTCCAAAGTGAATTTTGATAACGTTTTAGCAGGCTTCCTTGCACTGATGCAAGTGGTACGTTGCCACTTCTTTTATTTTTTATTTTTTGCATTTACTTCTGACAAATGACATTTATACATGCCACCATAGGCACAAAAGTGACCGTACGTTTAGACTTGTCCCACCAACCACATACCTTTAAAAGTGGAGTTAGGTTATATTTGTGTTAAGCGTATTGCATTAATTGTTAGTACAAAGTACTGATAATATTAAAGGCGCTTTTGGCAAATAGGACACAAAATAGAATTTCAAAACAAGTATGGACTACTCTAGTATGAAAATCGGAGGAAAACGCTTTGAAGTTAAGCTAACCTGCAGTATATTTTTTCCTTAACAGAATGAATCGTCGCCATAGGAGTCGCTTAGGCATTTCGTAAACATTTATTTGTGTTTCAGTTTTTAAAGGACGCTAAGCTTGTGTACCTAAGTAGCAAAGTCTCTCGCTGAAATTTGAGTTTATATGACGTGTTTAGGCGACTTTTGCGGGTTGGATGGAAGTTATGAAGGACGCAGTCGACTCGACTAAGGTGAGTATCAAATTCGTCTCAGAAGAACATAAAATTGTTGCGCTTGCTAAGCTCAAATAAATTTTTTTTCTTTTCGGAGCTGAAACGACCTAGTGCAGACCTCCTGATTTTCCATACCATGATTTAAAAGAGGCTGACGCGATCATGACTGTGACTTTCTGGTTTGCCACATGCGTTCTTGATCGGTTCAACACTGAAATTACTTAAATTACTTACTGAAATTTTGAGATTTATCCTTTTTTGCATTTTTTGAATAACGTATACTGATCTTAGAATTTATGGGCTCTATTCATCTAACCTGAGACATTTGAAGCTGTGGGAACCACCCTTAGACATAGGATTTCCTGGCTGCTTTAACAAGGGCGCCCCGGGAACGGGTCATCATAGGAGTTGTGTACATTTCTTTTGGCCTAAGATCAAATATTTTGAGCTTTTCTGGTTTCGCCTTTTAACGACCGATGTTATAACTTGCTGTTAGGAGTGGATTTTTCCACACGAATTGCAGGGTGAACTGACGCTGCAAACGTTCATGTTTATTGCCGTGTATTCGACGCAAGTGAACTCCAGCAGTACGCGTTTAACACATTAACACTTACTGGTAACGAAATTTCACTTCATCCTCTTTTAAAACTCAAGGTTCAAACACTCGTTTACTCAGTCACCTCTCTGCCCTGTTGTATCTTGTGGCTCATGGAAACTTTACACCATTGTTGGGGTTTAGACATAGAAGTTCTCGAACTGATAGATACTCCACAGTCAGAACCATCTGTGCAAGAAACTCCAGGTGTTTTCCAAACTGATTTTGTGTTGCGGGACTTTGAAGATGGTTTCAATGATAAACATGGTAAGCTACCTAACAACGTACATTTGGAAGTTGATCCCTTGAAACCCCCAATAGTACGCCCTCCCAGGAAAAATTGCTCTCTTTGAACCAGGACGAGATGGAACGATGGAAGAAGATGGGACTATTATCAAAGAAGAGAAACATTCCCCTTCAGTTTTCTCTATGCTAGTGTTCTACAAACGAAAAGTTAAAGAAAAGAATCACCCATCCTCAAACAATGATGTTCGAATTTTTATTGACCCAAGGGACTTATTAAAAGCACTTGAGATACCACACTATTCAATGGTTACAGGGAAGGAGGACGTTGCTAACCGACTTCCATGTGCTAAAAGTTTCATTTTCCTTGATGCATGCAGTGGGTACTGGCAGCTGCCAGTTGATGATAAAAGCGCAATGCTCTTAACATTCAACAACCATGGGATCAATATCTATTGGAATGTACCAAAAGACGGTGGAAAATTCTTCGAAGGGGATGCTGTGGAGGTTATAGTTCATGATTTCCTGATACTTGGTGAATATCAACAGAAGCTGACCAGAAGTTGAGAACAGTACTGGATAGGAGAAGAGAAGTAGGACTGAAGTTTAACCTTCCTAAAAAGTAAAACCTCGGTTTCCTGACGTAAGTTATGTTGGACATGTGTTCTCAGCCGATGGCTAAAAAACAGACCATGATAAAGAGCGAGCAATCAGTGAGATGCCTCCTCTTACTGAAAAAGGTGTGCTTTGAATACTTGCGACCGTAAATTATCAGGACAAGTTCATTCATTTACTAGTGCCTCTGTGTTAGCTCACTTTAATAACAGCATCGAAATAGTTCTAAGTGTTGATGCTAGTAGCACAGAAAGTGGCCGTGATCGCTGATGCAGGGGGGCAGACCAGTTGCTTTCATTTTAAAGTCATTGACCGCCTCTGAGAAGATGTATGCAAATATTGAAAGAGAGCTGCTAGCGATTGTGCGGGGAGTGCTATTTTCGAGATAGATCACCAAACGCTCTAGTCAATCGTAAACACTGAATGAGGCCCCTCCCAGAATACAGAAAATGCTGCTGAAAGCCATCAAGTATGACCTTGCTACGTACCAGGAAAACAGCAGATCATTTCAGATTGTCTGTTAGTTACCGACTTTCAAGTACTTTGAAATAGCGCGGCTTGGGCAGACCACAGCCACTAGTGTCGTCAACAACTTAAAGTAAATATTTGCAAGGTTTGGAATCCCAGAGAAAATTTTCAGCGACAACTGACTGTTGTTCGGCGCCAGACATTTGTCCAGCCGTTAACTATACTTTAAGAGTGGAGATATTGCTATGCAATCAGCTCACCATAGTATATTCAATCAAATGGAGCAGCAGAAAAGGCTGTGCAGACTGCAAAACGCATTCTTAAGAAGGCTGCAGCAGAAGATGAAGATCCATTTGGGGGACCGTTAAACTGTCGCAACTCACCATTTGATTGGCGTATCTTCTGCACAGTTGCTGATCAGTTCGAAGAACACGAACGATGATAACAACTCATCGACGTCTCCTGTTTACCTCAGCCTGTGGATCGTGATAGTGTTCTGAAAACTCTTCATCAGCGACGGCGTAGTGTCAAGTCTAGTTAACAAAAGCAGACTAGTGATTTGCCTCCACTTGTAACCATGCACAAGGTGCAAATAGTGAAAGAAAATGGTGGAAAGCTGAAGTATTGCCAAGATCGTGCCTCCTGGAAGACTAATATGGATTTACTTACTGGAGAAATAGAAGGCAGATCATCTCAGTTCCAAATGATTGTCCCATGTCTCCAGTTTTCATCCTATACGTGAGCAGCCTCGTGACACTCCCGCGAGTCCACTGGTAGCTGAATCTGAGAAGCTAGCGCCAAGTCCATTAAAATTAAAATCGAGACCGACAGAAACAGTTTCACACACACCCATTACAAACAGATCTGGGCACCAAGTGAAGAGGGGACAAAGACTCATTTATTCCTTTTAGTGAACATGATGTAAAATTTGAGCCTTTGGGATCCCCCTAAGATATAGGGTACCCTGATTGCTTTACGCGGGCACCCCGGAAATGGACCAACAAGTGCTTGGTGTGAGGGTGACTTGATCTTGAACATGGTCGAGTAGTTTTAAGTTGTGTAATTTTGCCATTTATAGACACTCTTAATATATATCAGACAGTTTTTGTTAGCCTTACGTTTTGTTGACTAGTTCGTCACCTTAGTATTTATAAATTTATCATTGTCATGATCATTCTTAATTATTATCGTTAGTAGTAGTTAATAAAATAATTATAAACAATTGACCAATAATATTTGCTTTAAACGCTCTGTGTTGATCCTGGCCCACTGGCTTTGTGGTTTGCTAAGCCTGCGAGATGACGCTTTGCCGTTTGCATTTTATCGTTATAACGTGTGTAACTGATAAATGTACTTCTTTTCAGGTGGACATGCAGCCGAAGTTTGAGAACAACTTGATGGCTTATTGCTTTTTCGTTGCTTTTATCATCGTGGGTTCGTTTTTTGTGTTGAACCTGTTTGTAGGGGTCATTATTGACAACTTTAACACCTTAAAAAAGAAGGTAAAGTATCATTCACTGTTTTTCTCAAAGCTACCTGACCTTTGTAGACTCTCTCCTTTATTTAAAAAAGTGAAAGAATTGAACTGAAAAAGGAAAAAAAAGGAAAAGGTGCATATACGTTTTTTGGGGGGACAAAACGACGAAAATGTGCGATTACATTGTTCGAAACAATGACATATCTACATCAAATTAAAACAAAACAAACATAGTAATTTCGTTATGAACGTGAGTGAAGCCCATAACATTTTTTCTTAATGCACATGCTACCAAAGAGAGATGATGATGTGATGACATAAGCACTGAGTTAACACTCCTGTTTTCTTTAGGAAATAGAGCAAAGGTGCTTCTTGACCTTCCACGTGGAAGGGTTGAAAGTATTCGAGACACAACTTCACAGAAACAAGACCAAAACACAAGGATGTTGATCTTTAGAATGTTACATGATAACGAGTGCACACGTTGTTATTAATACAAATTTATGCGAACGGACAGGTAATTCAGCTGGAGTTCGTCGGGCAGGCTCGCTTGGCCCGCTCCAGCTAACCGGATTTGTTGGGTTTTCATGCAATCACAAATTAATTTTTTGTTGCGTTTAATTGGAGCGCTGCGATCTTTTCAAAGCGTGCGACACCCGGGCAAGCCAGACTCATGTCTACAGCCTCCTAACGTCATTCATGAGCTCTTCTTTTTTTAAGAGTTGACCAAAACCAAAGCGGCCATTAAGTTGTACCCTCCTATGTTGTGAATAAAAACATTTCAATAATTTTTGGAAACTAGCGAATAATTTGTCTACCTTATTTATTTTAGGCGCACTTACTTACGAACTGTTGTGCTTTAATTTTCAATCTTAGTACGAGGACATCAGCAGTATGGGTATGTTATTGACCGAATCACAAAGAAAGTGGGTCAGTTTTCTAAAGGAAGCCGCCAGAAAGAAACCACCCACAAAGGACATTCGTCCTGAGGTACCAGTTAATGCAGCTGAACTTGTTCCAGACAACCTCATTAAAGTGATGGGAGAACTATTTATGAGCGTGAAAACGTCAGTTGAAGAAGACATGTCACGATTTTCTGTTGTTATTTTGAAACCCTACAAAAACAGTTCAATCAAAGAAAACCGTAAAATAATAGTTCCTTTTTTTTTTTCAAAATTACTCTAGTAATTTAACTTAACTATACGTGTATGTCTGCCTTTCGGTGACTAGGAGGCAACAGGATTAAAAAGTTTTGGAGTCAAACTCCTGTGTTGTCGAAAAATAAGCAAAACTGATCATTCTTTGGTTTCCTTTGATAGAAACATTTGATATATTTCATTCATTGACCAAGCGTGGCACAGATGACTGAAAATATTGGATCAAGTAAGGGTTCTGGGAAACTGCCCACCTACCCCTCCCCTAACTCGACGTTAACATTTGCGTCTCACTGGGGCAATATTTTGGGTTAGGGGAGGGGTAGGTGGGCAGTTTCCCAGAAACCTAAATTGATCCAAAATATTCACCATAAAACTCACCATGACATAGCCCCCTTTAAAAAGTTGAAGAATGCGTTATTGTTAGTTAAGGAATAAATTTCTTAATACCATCTATACAACTACATTTTCCGGCTGCCCAAAGCAGAGCCCCTCGCTATGCTTTTTCATGTGTATTTGTTTATATGTTCCACAGAAAAGATTGATCGGCCAGCTATATGACGTGGTAACGGGGGATAAATTTGAAGTCGCCATTATGATAGTGATAATGTGCAACATGGTCATGATGATGATTCAACATCACGGACAGTCCTCCCAGGTCACCACCGTGCTTCATATCCTTTTGCCAGGACAAGTGTGTTCATTTGTTTCCTATTTCCATAAAGTGCGGTTTTTAATTTATATAATTTATTTAATCTGTAAGATGATGTCTACTTGAATAAGATAAAAACAGATATTTCTATTTAAGTTGCTCTTGGTTGAAGATGAGGTACTAACTTTCCGTTCATGTTTGAAGTGAAGTCCAAGGATACATAAAAACGCAAAGTATACATAAATATAATCATCGTGTTGAGAGAAATTTTAGTATTTCCTGGTACATTTGCGCACTCCCAAATCTCTTCTAAGTCCCAACCAGTTTTAATTTATCATAGTCTTTCCCACCAAGAGACAGTAACCTCTTGTGACTCTTGCACGTTCCATCAGAGACAGGCGGGGCCCAGTTGTTCAAAAGCTGAATAGCGCTATCCATCGGATAAATTTCTATCCAGTGATAAGCATTAGGGAAACCAATTGCACTATCCAGTGGATAGAGATTTATCCACTGGATAGCGCTATCCACCTTTTGAACAACTAGGGCAGAAGATTAGGACGTTACACACGTTATTTCAAAACAAGTAAATGAGTATCGTAAATGAGTATCGAAAATGCTAAATTTAGCACTTCCTTTAATACTCAGATTTCCTTAAAAGATTCCGTAGGCTGAACATCGAACATAACAACAATCCGCAGAATAAGTAATACTGTAAGCTAGTGAATTTTATAAATACTTTCCTTAACTCATGATCACGTGTATCCAATTTTATCTTCACTGGTATCTTTGTTTTGGAAGCCATACTAAAGGTTATTGCGCTGAAACAGCACTACTTCAAGAAAGCTTGGAATGTGTTTGATTTTGTTATTGTTATCAGCTCTATTGTGGGTAGGTATATCCTCGATTGTCGTCATAAATTTCTAAATTTGTCAGCCTTCCTAAAAGTTAAGACCAAATGCAACTGAGATTCCCGGCTCTTTCTTCACTAAAAAACAGCTACTTGTATATGTTATTTGCCGGCCGGATAGTCTGTATATATATAAAAAAAGATGCCGGCAAATAACATTTTTGTTCTCACTCTTAAAATTTGCGGGAAAATATTACTTTAGCCTCCAAGTTGATTCAGAGCACGAACGATTATAAAACTATAAAAACAAGTGAATCTTTCTCATATACCGCTTATTTACCGAGAGTGAGCTTTTTTTAACAGGGAAATCTCAGACTGAGGCCTACGATTGAGCGCTAGCGAGGTCAATACATAAAGGCCGATCGCGAGGTCTGAGATTTACCTGTAACGACCGAACGGACGAGGTTAATAAGTTATTTATTGTATGGCCTTTTTAGCGCTGCCGATGCGATCGAAACCGCATGAAACAGTTTTTTGACAATGAGAAAATTCTTGTTTTTATTTGTCAAGATTTACGGCAATTTTAACTACTTCAATTTCACACGACACACTGACCTGTGTTATAAGTCTTTGACCCTTAAAAAGTTTAAAACCTGAGGTAAAGACGGGCGCAGTTTAAGGTTGAATTTGAACAAGTTGCGAGACCTTGCAGTCAGCGTAGGGTAACTGAAGGCTGGTTGAGGCAGCATGGCCTCCCGTTTTACATTGTTTTAGCAGTTTTCCCGACTGATTTGCCACATATGTTGTCCGCCCCCGGATAACAAAGTTCACTTTTTCTCTAGCTAGTACTCATAAGGGCTCATGTTTAAGATGAAAACTGTATAAAAGCATAGCTTTCGCTCATTCACCAATACTAACAAACCTGTGAATGAAGCCGCCACGACTGTAAATTCCCCTTAGGGTTGGCCGGCAAGATCATAGTAAAAACTGCCTACCAACGGAACTAATTAGATAGAAGGCCTTAGAGAATCCACCGGCTTGCAATTCGGAGCTCTAAATGTAGTGGGTAGCCAAAATTTATCCCGACTATCAAGCAACTTTGGAACAAATCTTTCTTCCCAGATAGCCTTTATCTTACCCAGTACTAAAAAACCTCCTCCTTTAATTCCTCATCTTAACAAGTCGGGTTTGGTTTGAGGTGCTTCAAAAAATTTCTGTATTAAATTTTCCTCTCGAAGAGTTGCTTGAGTGGATACGGGATTAATCCAGTGAATTGTTTTGCTGCAGACTAAAATTTTATTTTATTTAATGTCTTTACAGAGATTATCCTTGGAGAGGTAAATGTGAATGAAGATATGTTCAGTCCCAGTCTTCTGCGTGTTCTACGCATCTTTAGAATTGCCAGGCTCCTAAGGCTGGTAGAGTTTGCCAAGGGAATACGTCAGCTCTTGTGGGCTCTTATGATTTCATTACCAGCTCTTTTCAACGTAGCAGCACTTCTTTTCTTGGTGATATTTATCTACGGAATCATCGGCATGTCAGCGTTTGGACACGTTAAACAAGAAGGCGCGTTAAATGAACTTGTAAATTTCGCGACATTTGGTAGTTCATTGTCATTACTCTTTCGCCTATCAACTGGCGCGGGATGGAATGACATTATGGATTCCTTGCTACTGAAACCGCCAGACTGTGATCCTAACTACATGAATCTTCCCCATGGCAACTGCGGTTCCATCGGAGCTGTTTTTTACTTGGTCAGTTACATCGTAATTGTTTTCCTCATCATTATCAATATGTACATTGCTATCATTCTCGAAAATGTGTACCGTGCTCACGAGATCGAGGATTCCGGCATCACCCAGGAAGACTTTGACAGCTTCTATGTCTTGTGGGGGGAGTTTGTTCCTGACGGTAGGTTATATCTTCGGTTAGCTCAGCTGTCAGAGTTCGTTGCTACTCTGAAGAAACCATTCAAACTTCCAAAACCAAACACTGAAATATTAGCAGAGATGGACATACCGTTGGGGTCAGGCCCAGGGGGGTCAGGAGAGGTTGTTCACTGTTTTGACTTGCTGAAGGCGCTAGTTAAACGTGTTTTGGGGGAGCATGGTGAATCCCCCGAAGTTTTTCAGGAAATTACTGTGAAAATGGAGGCTAGTTTTAACAAATCATTCCGAAAAAGGAGGGCGTCATTGCCGATAATTGGTTCTACATCGAAATTATCTGAAAGCGTGCCCGAGAATGATCTTTGAGTATTGTTCATAGAGTGACTTTAAGTTCATGGACAGTCTGTGTAGCCTGCAACTGAGTCTTTTCATTTTCGACAAGGTCGGAGTTTAGGCTGGAAAAAAAGAAATTCCTTCAAGAAGGGGAACTTGGGTTAACACTTGGACAAAGCTGCTCATTTTTAAGCAGATGGGTGTAACATTTACGTCTAGGCCAAAAGGCGTCGAACTTTTCATGAGACGAACCAAACTCTAATTTGGGTCGACCTAAATTAAGTTAAGATCGTTTGTTAGGTCAGACGTCGAACCTAAGACTTGTCGAACCAATCAACTGAATCAGACCAAAAAGCAATTGTGATAAATTTTCTCCCGAACTAGGCTACATATACATTTTCTTACAAATTTTTAATTCAGTAGTTTAGTTCGTCGAATGTGATGATCGACGATTAGCTACATTTGTTCCGGAGACGATCTTCAGGCGTTCTGTCTGTTTGAAGCAGACGGATAGAACGTGTTGGACGATGCAAACTCATTCAGACGAACTTAACTGGGCCAGACGTCGAACTCTTCATGAACTTAACTCACTAAGCTTGGTTCGTCCCATGAATAGTTCGACGTTTGGCCTCGACCTTAGGGAAGCAACGACGACGACGACGGCAACGAGAAGGCAAAAAAAGGACTAGGTTTTAATAGATTAGCAATACAAAACTTTGCACGAGCATCACGCTCTTTTGTTCAGTTCTTTGTCGTCGTTGCATGACCACGGCATCTAAAACTGCCTTATTTCACCCTTTTTGACACTCAGATACAGTAGCTGAGAATTCAACTCCAGAAAAAAAACGACACGGAATAAGAGCGATAAATTTTAAATCAGCGTGAATTCAATTTTTAAGGGCCTGTTAACATGGAGGTGGGGGACCCCAGGTAGGTGAGGTTACCCGCTTAGGTGGGGTAACCCGCCTGTCCATATAATCCGCTCTCATTTTAATTTGATCACGTTTACATGACAGTTGGGGTGACGTCACCACATGTTACCTCACCTATCAGGGGTCCCCCACCTCTGTATAAACAGGCCCTAAGAGACGTTTTCGCCCCCACCTCTGTATAAACAGGCCCTAAGAGACGTTTTCACCACCTACGTCGTCGTTTTTGATAAAATCCTAAATATGTTAATGAATAGGACTTTTCAATATTTCTTTAAAAAGAGTATGCATGTGCATGTAACGTTTATATGCCATTTTTTTGTATTTTAAAAGGAGCAAAATTTGTGATGTCAAACAAATACCGGAGGGTATCTGCACGCTTGGAAATGATGTACTAACCATAATGCTTTGTAAGAATATTTCAGGAGTAAAAACGAAATCATATTGAAGCTTATTTGCCGTCCTAGATACTTTTATTAGGATAAAAAGATAAATTTACGTTAAAGTTAACTAAGGAAATGACAGTAAGATTTGTAATTTTTTTAAAATTTTTAAATGTTTTGATGTCCATTTTTTCTATAGTAATAGTTTATTATTTTGAAACTCAGCTCCTCTTTTAGGCTTGGCTTAATGTCTAGAATAAATTTTTACCTAGAGCACTAAGCTTTGAAGTAGAAGTTTTACTGTGAAAAACAAAAATATATATATCTTAAAGAGCCCTTTTGAACCTCTAAAATTACAGTCGACTCCTGATAACTCGAACCTTCAAGGGAAATCGAAAACAAATGACCCGCCCTGGGAACGATGCCAATTTTCCATTGGCACCCCGTTATTCCATTTGTATCTTTATTGGAAATGGCTAGAAAAAAAAAACTGTGATTCTTCACCTTCAGGTTGAAAGTTTAATAAGCATCCGTTATATTGCTAACGTTTGAAGGACGAAATACATCGCCAAGTGAAAAAAAAAAGGCGAAGCAAGAAGAAAAGGGCAATATGCAAAAGTGACTATTTGCAGCGAGAGCAATTCTATTATCCTGCTCATAATTTTATTGACGTTTCTGTGCCCTCGTTTGACTACACAATCCCCAGATTCTTCTTTGGTTATTTAGCGGCCGCCATATTTGTAAGAAACAACCGAGACTATCTCGTGTCGGCACCCCTTAAAGGTGGGGCACCACTTTGTTTCATACTGATGCGTGTACACGTGGGTAATTGCTCCAACCGTGCCAAAAAAATGCAAGCAGGGTGCCAAAAATATGTGGTGCCGTGGCCATTCTTTCGCTCGTGAAAATGGGGTGAAACTCCACTCCGATATCAAACTTTTCTACTTTATGCTAAAATGTAAAATTCAGCTTGAACTTTTGAATGAGCCTATACTTTTTTTTTTAACAACGTCACGTCTTTTTGAGTTTGCAAAATACAAAATTAATGACAACAAAAAAGTACAATAAAAGTTTAAAGAATGGCTCAAATAGTTTAAAAGAATATAATGTGATATGTGATTTGTTTCAAAAGAAAGGCGTCAAGCATACAAGGTTTGCCTGTCTTGTCGATGTAATTATAAAACGATCAATTAGCAAGTTCAGATACCCTTTAGAATACCAAGTTAAAATTAAACTCACTTTACAACTACCATGCGAAACCACCATTATATTCCACGATTTTTCCTATAAAATGGCTACAGTTTCAATGTCCCAACTGCATAGAGGACTCAAGCTCTGCCCTTATAGTAAACCCCTGCTCCAAGGGCTTTTTTTTCGACCCTAAGAACAAAGATCCCGAGAAGCATTCGCAGTTGAAGATATTCACCCTTTCTTATAGATGTTAATTGATAAATTCCCATTTCAATACAGACTTTCTCTTCTACCTCACGCATAAAAGTACCTTAAATCTTCGCTCATTCGGGTTTTCTTCTGCCGATCCTAGCCGCGAAGAAAACAGTGATAAATTCCTCCAGTGTAAATTTGTCGCTTGATCTTTTGACTTTTTTCTTCAAAATGACAACTGAGTATTTTCTTCAAATTCTATCTTTTGTACATTTCATTGGTGTATTTTACTGACAGCAGAGGAGATTTGCTGAATTTGCCTCAATTTTACCGCGCTAGCTCAGTTTTTTGGCATGCACCCACGGGCAAATGATAGATGGGTAACTGACGAATCAGAGCGCGCGCTTTAACTTTGTTACGTTACAATGCCAATTAGACCTACTGTTGTTTTTTCACCGTTCTCGTTTCCTTCGCCGCTTAGCCTTACACGATTTTATATTTAGTTTGAGCAAGCTATAAATATTATCGAGAGCTTCCCTTTCAGCCCTGGTTAAATCTATATATTACACTTACATTATGCTCACAAATTTGAAATAAAAGTTTTTTATCCAGGGAGGGGAAATCAAAGAGGTCCGTACAGAAAAAAGTAACCTCGTTTCCAAGTTCTCTTCCACTCCCCGGGGACGGGTGGGAAGGAGTCCTGGGAACGAGGTTGAGAAAAATGGATGTAATTAATATATTAATCATAACTATAACAAAATTCTCAAATCTGATTGGCTATCAACTGCCCTGATTTCAGCCTTAATAAGACAGTTTAATAGGACAGTACGCGTCATGCCTAAGTAATTGGACAGTGTGCGCCATCATGCCGCGCTTAATTGGCTTTTTTTTCACTGTTGGCAAAAAAAGGATCTTGGAATTTCTTGTGTTTTGACTTAAAAAAGAGCTACTTTTCTATCTAAAACGAGTACTCCACACTTTTACACGACCTGTTTTGCCTACAAAGAAAATAATAAAAATTTCAATTTTTCAACCAAAACCTTGGGCAAATGCAAATTTTGCCACTTTCTTAACATGATGTTTTTGTAGTGTAGAAAGGTTAGTTATTCGACCAGAAGGTCACCAAACACATTTTCTCGGCGCATATTGCCCTTAAAAGAAGGATTGTAAAAATTTCAATTTTTCGACCAAAAGCATAAACTAATCCCTTTGTTCACCAGACTCGGCGTAAAAATCGGAGTGGGCGTGCCAAGCACCGTCGCTTAAGCGGAGTACAGATGGGCGTATAGGCAATTTTTGCCTGGTGGGGGGGGGGGGGGGGGGGGGGGGGGGGGGCGAACACATTGTGTTAACATGGTTTTCGTCAATTTGATAATTAATAATACATTGGAACATCCCCAGGGGACGCCAGCGAGTCGCCTCCGGTCCACGCAACACACAGCGCGATGGAGGCCTGGGGGGCAGCGGTGGGGGGGGGGGGGGGGGTGGGGGGGGGGGGGGAGGGGGGGGGGGTGGGGGGGGGGGGGGGGGGGTGGTGGGGGGGGGGGGGGGGGGGGGGGGGGGGGGGGGGGGGGGGGGGGGGTGGCGGTAAACCATTTGCCCAAAATAGTCTTCCTCAAATTGTACATATAAGTAACCATGAAACTATCCTGCGCGAGCCCTCTCTTAACTGTGGCGTACCTCATGATCACGGGACAATAATCGACCCCTTTCCTTTTCATCTAAATAGATGTTCTACCGACTTATTTAATTTAATGCTGGTTCTCAGTCCAAGAATATCTGCAGACGAGACTAACGTTACCATCTCCGTACCTACCATACCTAGTACCTCATCTCGAAACACAGATCTGCAATAGTGATTGAAACATAATTGAACTATGACTTAACGACTTTACGATAAACCCAAACGTAAAGGGCGTCCAAATAATGCAGAACATTCATAGCAAATCTCTTGCACAAAAATCTCGCTGGGAATGCCCACACGCATGAAATCTTAAAGAAGTCTGAGCTCCTAGAGTATTGGTCGCTGAAGCGAGTCAGACAATCTATTTCAATACGCACTGCAGTCAAAGTGTACAAAACGTTTTTTTCAACCACAACCGGATACAGTAGCGCTGACTGTGATAGCTTGTCGCATCAGCTGAGAACCCCAAACACTAAAAATACCATGCCATGAAATCTCGAATTACAACCTCCACATTGCGAAGGGCCGATTGTTGCCTCCGAAATCGAAAACTGCAGAGTGCTAATAAGCGAACTTCGTGTGGTATTCAGTGTACTTACTCGTATAAATTTCTGCTTTACATACAGTGACTTTTCTACATCCTCCGACTATTCT